AGAATGGGCCAGAATTTCTCTTTTTGTGTCTCCTCTGCCTCCTAGGTTAATTACTGACATGATGACTCAGTAAGTACCCTTTGTTTGTGAAGTGCACAAATTGAAGTCCTTCCCTGTGATCTTATATTGGCACCATTACAATATTGTGATTGCCCATAATAATAACAATAATAATAATGACTGGAAGACAAATACTCTTTATTAGCAGCATTTCATTTCAGCATTTGTCTGAAACTGGGTCTTTTACTGAATTTCATGTCACCTGATCTGAATATGACTACACTTTAGATCTTGGGAAACTTATTTTTGGACTGTTAAACCTTTCAGCCATCACAGCGACTTCAGAGCTTGGAAAGGTAACTTTTATGGTGACAAGTTATCAGAATCTCACAGCCAGCATTGCCACTTATCTTGTTTCACTGTTACTCCCATGATCCCAAGGCTAGCTGGAAATGGGAATTATACATATTTGGAGGGTACAAGGTTGGAGAACACTGTTCCATGTAACCATATGCAACTATATGCCCCTTCATTAGTTCTTCAAGTACTCTTCAAACCCCTTATACATTTACCAGAGCATGAAAAATTTACTTTTGACTACAACACTCAGAATCCTCCAGTCAGTATAGCAATCATGGAATCTATAGAGTTGGAAAAGACCTCAAGCAATATAAACAAATTCTGTCTTTTACCTGCCATTCCCATTTTCAGAAGAGTGGTTACATACTATGATTTGTAAAGGGAAAATTCTGCCTACCAAATTAGCAAAGATAGCAAGACAGTTTTAGAATTTACTCCTGGCCTCCAAAAGATTAAGGAGAGCTCTGTGGCAGACAGTCATTTAATTTTGCTCTGTCTTCATTTCTAAAAACAAATATCCAGTTATGAGAAAAGTGAAGAAATTTGCTAGAATGTAATGGTGCTGGAGCAGCATCTCATTGAAAAGGCACACCCAGTTATTTTTATAAATGTGGAAATAACTTATTGGGTGGATGTAAATGTCTTGATAAGATGGGATACCTGTTGGGGATGCTTTGATTTTGAGTTCCTGCATGGCAAGGGGGGTTGGACTGGATGGCCCTCGTGGTCTCTTCCAACTCTATGATTCTATGATTCTATGACTTATGGTAACCCCATTAATTTCATAGGGTTTTCTGAGGCAAGCAAGTTGCCTTTCTCTGAAACAGAAACCTTTAAACCAAGGGCAGGCAACCTTTTTGAGACCTGGGCCGGTCTCCCGTAGCCCAGGTCTCGGCTGGGCCGAGGTGGGGGGAATGGCTCACGCGCGCGCACCCTCCTCCGCCGTGCGTAACCCCCCTGCGCACGCTGCCGCCGTAGCGCGCGCAGCCGCAGCTGCCATGGCACATGTCGTGGCCGCCATTTTGGCAGTTCGAATTGCGGCCGTGACGCGTTTGCGCATGCGCAAGAGTACTGCGCATGCGCAAACGCGTTGCGACCGCCATTTTGATTTCCAAAATGACGATCGCAGCGAGCGTGGCCGCAGAGTGGCAAAAACGCGCCCTGACGGTGCCCACATTTGATCTGTTGCATTGCTGGACATCTACTTTAGATAAGGTAGGTGGTGCAGTCTGGCAATTTTGGCCTCTAGACTTAAGGATCTTATGAAATCCCTTGCTTTGGATGACAATATGTACCAATTCACCTACTGTGCAGTACGCCATAGCTGTATTTGGAGGTCCTGTTGCTCATTCTGCAGAGCAGGGTCCTGGACTTCTGTCCCAATATCCTGCCCTGACAAAATACTCATGAAACCAAAGGGAGTAGGTCTACACTAAAAGATTTCTAATGTTTAAAAAACTGGTAGGAGAACCAGAGGGGAAAAAATTCAAAGATAAAGCCATGTTAGTCTGTAGCATCAATATGTAGAGAGATTTTGTAGCACTTTTGAGACTTACTGAAAGAAGATGGCAGCATAAGCTTTCATAGGAGTTTATCACATGGGGGAAATCCCGTGCGGAAATGAGGCTTTAAATTGGAAAAAAACCGCAAAAGCGGTTAGATTTTCAGATGACGTCGCTGTTAAAATGGAGTTAAAATGAGGTTAATCCGAATGGAAACTTGTCAAAAACTTGTTTCTTTTTACTTTCGGGATTTTCCGAAACTTAAGTCTACTTCAAATGTATCTGAGGAAGTAGACTCTATGAAATCTCGTGGTGCCAAGTTCTTTCTTACAGTTAGTCTCAAAGGTGCTACAAGATCTCTCTACATATAGAGGGGAAAAAAGATATTTTTGGAATCCTAATACAATTTCCCTCTAGATCAGGATCTTTCTCAAAACTGATTTGGTGTCATATCTTCCCGGTTCATTCACCATCCTAAAATTGAATTAGACCCTCCATTCATTTAAAATTTTTAATATTCCACCTCCTAAAAAATAAAACAAAACCAACCAAACAAAAAAAAACCTATCTGTTTCCTTAAATTAATGAAGCAACACAGGGGGAGTCAAGAGAGAAAAGGACGGTGCTGGTATAGATGGGTGTGCCTTGAACTAGAATACACAAGAAGATTCTACTAATTTGTTTCTCCCTTTTCTAATAATCATAGAAACAACAGGAACAGATGCACTATAAAGATACCAATACTGTATCTCTAAACCCATTTATTCTTTACATGGGTTTGCCCTAAAGACACAATTTACCGGTAAATCTAGAGTGCAAAATTGCCAAACTGAACCACCTACCTTCTTTTAAAGTGGAAGACTAGCAATGTAACAGATCAGATTGTGTTTAACACAGATTTACGGTCTTTCTTTCCTTCTGTTTGAAGTCTTGGTGCTCTTAATTTATGTTTTAATATTAATAATATTTAATTATTTTTAACTTTTGTAATCAATATTTTTACTTTTGTCATTTTAAATTATTGTAACCTGCCTTGAATCCCATTGTGGGAGAAAGGCAGGATACAAACCCTTGCAATGAATGAATAAATCAAGGTTTAAAGGTTTCTGTTTCAGAGGAAAGCAACTCAAGAATATTGCTTGCCTAAGAAAACCCTATGAAATGTATGGGGTTCACCATAAGTCAACAGACATCCCAGTCTTATCAAGACATTTACATCCACCCCATACATTATTTCCAGAGTTATGAAAAGAATTAGGTATGCCTCTAAAGCAGGGGTAGGCAACCTTTCGAGGGACTTCAGCTCCCAGAATCCCAGGAGCTATTGGCCAACATGGGACTATTGGCCAACTGGCTGAAGCTTCTGGGAGCTGAAGTCCCTCAGCCCTTAAAGGGGACAGGTTGCCTACCCCTGCTCTAAAGCCAGCGTGGTGTAGTGGTTTGCGTGTTGAGACTACAACCCTGTAGACCAGCGTTTGCTTCCCAGCTGGTCTGTGAAACCCACCGGGTGACCTTGGGCAAGTTACACTCTCTCAGCCTCAGAGGAAGGCAACGGCAAACCCCCTCTGAAGAAACTTGCCAAGAAAACCCTATGATAGGGTCACCATAAGTAAGAAAAAATAACTTGGAGGCACACAACAACTTGAATGGGATGTTGTTCCAGCATAGCGGTTCCGAAACTCTGGTCCTCCAGATGTTTTGGACTTCAGTTCCAATCACCAATTTTCCCCAGAATTCCAGACAGTTGGCCAAGTTGGCTGGGGCTTCGGTTCCAATCACCATTTCCCCCCAGAATTCCAGATTGTTGGCCAAGTTGGCTGGGGCTTCGGTTCCAATCACCAATTTCCCCCAGAATTCCAGACTGTTGGCCAAGTTGGCTGGGGCTTCTGGGGATTGAAGTCCAAAACACCTGGAGGATTAAACTTTGGGAATTGCTTCACCTTTGCATTTTTGGCTCCACATTCCCCTTCCCAAGCTGATCCTTCCTGTTTTGGTTGTGAAAAGTGTAGTCAAGCCCACTTCACTGGGAGGTGCTGGTCTCTTTAAGAAGCCTTGTTGCATGGAGTGCCTTAGACAATAGCCATGATCACTTTAGCTTTGGAAGTGACCTCTGAATCTGCACACGCCTTTCATCTTGGGCTCCAGGAGCACTTGGGGATGGACTATTTCCTGGTGGTGTTGGTGGCTGGGGGGGGGAGGAAAGGAGGAGCCCAGACCCTTTCACACACACAGATCCAGCCACTCCAATTGGTTCACTCCAGATCTGAACCCAGTTCCAGTCTGAATGTGGGACACCCAGCTGAGAGAGTGGAGGGGGCTCAGCGCTTCCTGCTGGAGGATTTA